ATCTCGTTCCCAGATTATGCCTGTTCGCGGGTTAGGTAGTGGCATGAAAGCTCAAGTGCGCAGCCCGCAAGTCAGGCTCGGGTTGAAAGTATCATCCCCCCCTCTCCCCGTTATTCCTTTACAAAATAACAATAGCAGGAACGACAATCACAAAAACAAAAACAACAACAACAACAACAACAACAACAACAACAACAACAAGCAGTGATAACAATTATATACATGAAAACGCGCAGGCCTTTGCTCAGGCGCAGGCAAGCTCATGAGCATACTGGATTTTGGTACATATATTAGCGATATTAGCGTGCTTATGAGCATACCTTATTTTGATATCTTATGGGCACGCACATATTATATGTACCAAAATCAAGTATGCTCATGAGCGCGCTCATATATATACCAAATTATGACCATTCTCATGAGGATACTGGATTTTGGTATATATACCGGGTGATCTGACGGCCAGCAAAAGGACTGGGACTATAGCAACAGAATAGAAATCCAGTTCGTAGTTAATCACTTGTCATGCCCTGATTCTTTTGTGAAACTGTTTGAAGCTTTGTGTCCGTGTCTTACACAGGGAAGTGAATAACTGGGACAAATTTGAGATAGAAATCTAATACCATTAATGAGATATTGAGTAATTTTAAACCAGAAATGGACTTCTATTTTACAACTAGTGCCAGACTTTTTTCGAGTTTCGAGATTACCTGGTATATGAGGGTGCTCATGAGCATACTGGATTTTGGTACATATATTAGCGAGCTCATGAGCCTTCATGAGCACACTCATATATAGCCAAAATCCAATATGCTCACCAGCGCGCTCATATATGTACCAAAATCCAGTAATACGCCCATGAGCATTTTCATGAGGACACTGAATTTTGGTGTATATATAAGGGTGCTCATGAGCACACTGGATTTGGTCTATAAATTAGCGTGCTTATCTCTTGAGCACTCTCATAAGTCATATATATACCAAAATCCAGTAATATGCTCATGAGCTCTTGGGTATACCGGATTTTCCTTCAAATTGCCAAAATTTCCTTCAATGGGAAAAAAATCCTTGAAAGTGGAAACTCTGAATTAATATGAAGAAATATGACTCCCAGCGAAGCAGAGCCATATTATTTCAAGATGTCACCTTGTACATGATGACTGACGCATGAAATACTCTTGTCTAAATTCGCTATATAAAGTATCTGGAACCTTATAAAGACCAAATGTCCGACTCCCTGCCATTGAAATACACTTTCCCGTTTTGATGACAGAAAACAGATTGAATTGATTGAATGTTTTGAAAAAAATCATTTTGCAAACCCAATCATTTCAGGACAGATGTGCGCGCGTTAAAAACACGATAGCGTTTTATCGACATTTGAGGGTGTCATGTGTACATCGTTGATTTTAAATCGATGAAGAGAATCTTCGCCCCTAAATTCATGTTCTTTTAGGAGCGCAATTTATGCAATGAAACATGCCTTTGAACACTGTTTTTCTTTAGCTACAAAACGCGCAAGCAATGTTAGGATTTTGTAGGATGTTTTGCGCAAAATTGGGCAAGATTTAGCGAACATTGAACATCCACGTTAAGGACTTTTTCGCAGCTTGTGGTCGATACGCAATACAGATTATTTTGTTAGATATTATTTCGAAAGGAAAACATTGCGCGTTGTCATTCGCCATTGTGTTTTCGCGTCGTTCAGTTCGGGGCTGTCGTTTTCGCCGTTTGGAATTGTTTGGAAGTTATTGCGTCGTAGGTATGTCACGCTTATTAAAGTTTAATATCTGTTTTGCAAAGTTTTACTAAATTTGGAAAGCTTTTAAAGTAGCGGAATGTTTTCTGATATGCCATATATTATCAATTGTATTTGGGTGATAGACTAGTAAATCTTTGTGCCAGCCGAAATAGGATGAATGCTCAGTTTATTGCATAACATAAACTTCTATAGATTGCCTGTCCTGGGTTCTTTAAAAACCGCTTTTGGTTTCGTTCTGGAATAGTGCAATTTATGAATATTCTGCGCTGTTTATATATTGCACTTATGCCCCAATAACCTCGTTTTCGTGCAGTTATTTTCTCATGTTTTGTGCTCTGTAGGATTAAGGATCGGTTTGTGATTGGGCTGAAGATCAAAGAGAAATATATTCGCGCGCGAAACATGGGGATATAATCTTCAAGTACGCTTGCCCGTGTTGAAACAGGCAAACACGAAATGCCCGGCCGATAGCGATAATCGATGATTTTACTTGTCAATAGACAATTCCCATTATAGACTAATTTTTAAACTATAGGCAAGGAGATGCAAATAAATTACCACAACTAGAATGAGTATACTAAAGTGAGTAAAATTGCAACGGAGTTTGGTTGCATGCGAAATGTTGTAAAATGCAGAAAACAGTATAACCTCGCAAATTTTGTTTTGCGTTTCGGCCCAAATGTGGTACTAGCAATTCCGCACGCAATACAAAAGTATACAAAATTTGCGAACTTTGCAAGGCTATATTTTCCGCATTTTATACAACATTTCGCAACCAAACTTTGCAACTATTTTACTAATTTTAGCATGCTCTTTCCAGAAATATACTTCTTTTTGCCAAGATCAAAAGTTAGTCTATAATGGGAATTGTCTATTGTAGTCTGGGGGAATATATCACTTCTTTTTGCCAAGATTAAAAGTCAGTAGTCTATAATGGGAATTGTCTATTGTAGTCTGGGGGAGTATAAATTTCACTGTAACCTGCACAAGATCAAAAGCAGGCGGTCGTTTAATATTAGAGCTGTAAGGAGAACAGCACGAAGCTGCCATAGTGCAATCTAGTATACCGGCTTACGCGCACGGTCTAGAATTATACGAAATTATATTTTGATACTAATTTTCACGAAAGTCTTGTCAAAATTTTAAGCCACCTGTATGAACCGAAAAACTCTAATAACTGAAAGACAAGCAGGGCAGTTTCTTTACGGAGCAGTGTTGTTTAAATAACAATGAATCTAATAGCATTTCAGTGTGGTGACCGGCAAATTAAATCAGCCATCGCTTTGTATTCGGTGGGTGAATTTGTTGGCATGCTGGTCTAGCGCTGTTAGGGACTGATTACATGGGGAGTTTTCGGCCCTGGCTGAGTTTCACACCGGTTTCCCGGGCTGATCATGAAATTTCAGCCCGGCGCACTCGGATAAAATCCTATTAAAACACAGCAAGCGATGACGTGCAGAAATTTCATCCCAGGATGAGTTTCAGCCCGACACCGGCCTGAAGTTTCAGCTACCCAGGTTGAAAATTTCACCCCGCCATTGACCGGGCTGAAAATCGTCAATGTATGATCGACAGGAAATTTCAACCCGCCGGGCGGTTGAAAATTTCAACCCGCCGGGGTTGAAGAAACAGCGTTTAAGTGGCTCTATTTCTGTCTGTTCTATTTTCAAATGCAACCACAGTCTCACAGAAGTCAACTAACAGACATGCATGAACAACATTTTAAATTCTTCGAAGAAGCGGAACAGCTGCATTTTGAGACTTGATCGTTTCGGCAGCCCGGGCTGAGATTACACCCCGGTTTGAACTGAAATTCTAACTCCGCCATGTAATAATAATCGTGAAACAATTTCAGCTCGGTTAACCGGGTTGAAAACTCCCCATTCGCCCCCATGTAATCCAGGAATCCGACTTTCAATAGCTTTGCAATCCGGAATCCAGAATCCAAACGTCGGAGGAATCCGGAATCCTTATCCTGGGCCAATTTTCTGGAATCCACAACCGATCTGGAATCCGGAATCCAAGTAGTGGAATCCGGAGTCCAAGGAGCGGAATCCGGAATCCAAAGAATTAGAATGTGGAATCCAAGGAGTGGAATCCAGAGTCAAAGGAGTGGAATCTGGAGTCCAAGGAGCGGAATCCCGAATCCAAAGAGAGGAATGCAGAATCCAAGGAGTGGAATCCAGAGTCAAAGGAGTGGAATCTGGATTCCAAGGAGCGGAATCCGGAATCAAAAGAGAGGAATGCAGAATCCAAGGAGTGGAATCCAGAGTCAAAGGAGTGGAATCTGGAGTCCAAGGAGCGAAATCCGGAATCCAAAGAGAGGAATGTGGAATCCAAGGAGTGGAATCCGGAGTCAAAGGATTCCAAGGAGCGGAATCCGGAATCCAAAGAGAGGAATGCAGAATCCAAGGAGTGGAATCCAAGGCACGGAGTGGAGTCCACGGGCCTTGAAAATCCTGGAAAGTCCTTGAATTGGAAAAAAAATTTCCAGGACTGGAAAGTCCTTGAAAATCAGTAGAAGTCCTTGAAAGCCCTGGAATTATTTTGATTAAAATTACTGAGTAAAGTGTATTATTTACGGCAAATCCGTGCCATTTTCAAAGATTTTTCCCAGTTCTAGGTCCTTGAATTTACTGAAAAACGGGCTTGAAAGACCTGGCGGAAAAGTCCTTGAATTTCACCTTCACCAAAGGGTGGACACCCTGCCAAGGAGTGCATGGATCACCTTACATGGGGCGACCCCATGTAATCAGCCCCTTTATATATACTGCACATATACTCTTCCAAACTTCTATTCAAGTCTAAACTTGGAAGTCCAGGTATCGACCATTCAAAATATTTTAAGAATGTTCCTGATAACGGTTATCGCACCAGAAACTTTGATCCAGGCAATTATCAAGTTAATTTCGCCAAACAGGACAATTTGAAATATTCATATTTTATCAGAGTAGTCGTATTATGGAACAAACTACCCAGAGATTTTAAAACTATTAACAATTTATATACTTTTAAAAATAAACTACAGGTTTACTATAAGAGTAAACTTACTGATTACCCCCTTCCTGGAGTATTTATCTTATAAAATTAGTGTGAACAATTATGTGTATATATAAACAGGAGGTAGATTTCAATTGGGACATTGAGTCCTGTTTCTTCCTCCTGTTGCTTTTAGCTTTGTGACAAATTTATTCAATTCAAATTCAATTCCTTAGCTAACTGATAACCTGATCACAAAATGAGTTCTCAGCTGCAAAAGGTCAAGGAACGCTTGTCAAAATACAAAGAAGACATAGACGTCGCTGAAGAGAGGGAACTCAAAGCAAAAGCTGATCTCATTGAGGTAGATGCGCGCTGTGAAACAACCAGGAATGAAGTGGAGGGGTTGAAAAGACGGTTGGTGCTGATCCAGAAAGATTTGGACAAGGTAAACGAACGCTTGGAGTCCGCGCAGTCGAAATTGAACCATGCAGAAGGAAGATTTGGTGATGATGACGGAGTGAGACAAGAATTTGAAGTCACTGAAATGGAGCGAGACGAGCAGTTGGCTGTTCTTGAAGAGGTAATCGGGGTCCGAAAATATGGAATTGTCTTTCTTCATCAATAACAGGAATAAATATCACTTCTTCTTTCAAACAAAAATTGCAAAAATATCTGATTGAAAACAATTAGTGCATGTATATGTCAATAGGAGTTTCATTTATTAACAACAAAACAAACAAAAAATTTTTGCCTTAAAATTTTTGAAAAAAACTTTGTTCTGAGATCTTTTCACCACTCCCTTTCCTGTCAATGTAAATTTACTGAATGAAGTGGTAAATAAATTGAATTGATGTTTTTTTCAATCAAATCATGATTACTAGATTACATCGATATCGAAGGAACTAGACTCAGTTCCGAAATATCACATACTCGAACCGACCTGACCGCGTAGCTCAGTTGGCAGTGCATTGGGCTAGTATTCCAAAGGTCGTAGGTTCGATTCCCACCGTGGCCAGGCATATTTTTCAAGATTGCCCGGTGTGGACATACACTCAGAGTAACATCACAAGCATGAAATTGAATTGAATTTAAAAAAAAGGTAACATCGTCGGATGCGATTCCAGTCATTACATTCAGGGATGTAACATACCCCCAAATGAATGCGGGTGGGTGGGGGTTAATCGTTTAATACACAGAACAGCTATTGGGTCCAGGAAATATTTCTATTTTTAGGATAGATAGATGGTTTTATTCACAATTCACATTACAGCCCCAAAAAAGGCTGAATATCGTAAATATTACAAAAATACAACTTTTGCCTAAAACTGTCGCGTGCAACCTGCTTACAACTTGAGTTGTACTGTGTAAATCAAGCATACAACTCACTTAGAACAAGCAGTACAATTCCAGTTGTAAGCAGGTAAGTAAGTAGTGATTTATTCGTATGAGATGTAATTTCAAATCCTCCAATTCGGACTGGACTAGATTTCAAGTCCTCAGGCCTCATTTGCGGGGCCCGCGGAAAATCTTCTCTGGGGGTCCCATGACATCATTATTTTTAAGCTAGACCCAAGTCTGTCACCTAACTAGACCTTAGCTAGACTGCATGTGGAGTTACTGTAGGGGCCCTCAATTTTCAAAAATACTCTGACCAATTTAAAGAACCTAGTCCAGTCATAGTCGGATTTGAAGTATCACATGAAAGATTTATAAATTTGACAACTGTATTCAGTTTTGATCCACTTCTTTAATTAGGTTTCTATATTTAGCTTTCTTGCGGTTAATTAATCATAATATGGATAATACTAATATTTTTCCACGTCTGTGACAGGAGTGTGATGCAGCAAAGAAATTGAGAAACGAAGCGCACAACGTGCTTGTCGACAGCGAACGAAAACTTGCCGTCATCGAAGAAGAAACGCAGCGCACGGACGAACGTCTTCGCTCGGGCACGGAACACGTGAGCTCGCTTGAAGGTAGAATCAGTGACGTGGGCGGCGAGATACGTGTGCTCGAAGATCGTGACAACGATGCCGCGGAACGCGAAGAACTCACTGAGGAAAAGTTGAAGGTAAGTTGGTGCAATCAGGGGCGTAGCAACTTTGTCAAGATTAGGGGATGCACGCTCCATGGTTGGCGCCGAACGAGAAAATGTTTGAAATTTGAATTAATGCTCTAAATCCTTCGAAATGGCCATTTCAGAGTCTTATTTTTCACCCTGCTCGGTTTCCTTTGTTCTTAGCGGGGAATATATTCAATATTCCACTCTAATCAATTTCCGTTTAATAATCCCCCTCTAATATTCACCTGCAGTTAATAATCCCCTCTAATATTCACCTGCAATGTCTTTGCAGCACAAAAAATGGGAAAAAAAACAACATAACGAAGGCAATATGGCATTAAGAATTATTTCTATTCTGACTCATTAGCGCGACCTCGCAATGTGAAAAATAAGTACGTTATTTTGAGGCACTTCGGGGATATGTGTTTATTCACCTCGGCGCTGCGCGCCTCGGTGAATAAATCACATATCCCCTCGTTGCCTCAAAATAACCTATACTTATCCACCTCCTCCAATACGGTCCATAGATATCTTATATAAGATATCTATGGTACGGTCAGGGAACCATGCGGTGCATTTTTATATAAATATACCACCCAACTTTCTTTAAAATTAATGATTTGGGGGGGGGGGCAAATATATTTCCCCCCTCACATATTATTGGGGAGGGGCGCCCCCCCCCCCCCC